ATACGCGAATACTCCGACATTTGTGAACCGATTCCGATGATTCTTTTTTGTTACAAAAGGAATACCTTATGGAAACCACAGTTATGTTGCCATTCAAATTTGAAAAAAATATTCCACCTCAAGGAGATTTCACCCACTTTCCATCAAACGATATTTTTACACTTTCCATAAACAATAAGGGCTTTTTGAAGTCGGTTTTTTTTGTAAAAACTTATTCATTATTTAAGAACTTTTAACCCTACTAAGTGTTAGCAGTTCATAACATTTTACTCAATTGAGACTTATTTGGGCCTTGCAGTCAAACTGTGTAACAGTTTTATATTACCCATTATGTTTGTACGTTTTTGAAATTCTACAATAAAAAAAATTTAAAATTAAACGTAAAAATGGTTATACAAAAAGGTATGTTGCTCATCCTATGAATATTACATTACAATGAAAACTGGGAGTGGAACAAGAAACCAGTATTAGGAGGTATAATTACTTCGATAGATTGTTACTGTTATATGTACACACGCCAGCACATCAAGCTACACATCGACGTATCTCGTTCCGTTGCACTGGAGGCGATTTTCGAACAAAAATGTGTAGTCTGATGTGCCGTTGTCCGTACATTGTTACATTCCTTTTTATAAAGTTAATTGAAGACAATTTACACGATATAAAGAAACCATAGCCGCCTTTTATTATTGCTTATCTACAATTCATAATTTCCAATGTATCATTGATTAGCGTCTAAGAAATATCCAAGTAATTGAATACACGCTAAGTGTGCGAAGGTTACGGTCAAGGGCGGCATTTCCGGAGATACGCTCTGTCGGGTGTTATAATTAAGGGCTTACGAATAAATATTAATTTTTTTTCTGACACCAAGTAATGAACGAACAAGTCGTGCGCCTGATGTTAAGCGACACGTCGACAGCTGCCACTCAGAGCCTAGCCACTGCGCCTATCCAATAATAATAATAAGTGAATAATATGTAATTATGAATACTTACTTGATTTTATATAATATATTAATTTATTTAGAAATCAATTACAAAGATGGCACATTTAACAGAGAGACAAAGTCTATTTTAACAAATTTAGTATATGAGTACCTACAAACTAAATCTATGACATTATTAACATCATTAACAACCTTTTTTCTTATATCTATGTAAACAACAACTTTTGTTCGATGAATTTTTAAAAAACTTAATAAATTTACCAAAAATAAACTTTTAAGTTTTTGTTGTACTGTCTCACACTTTTTAGATCTGTATTTGGTAGAATAAGTTCAAACGTGCAAGCGTCCTCCGCGACGACTCCACTCTCGTCGTTATTGCCGTTTCTTAGTATTTTAAAAATAACCTTGTATATGGGTAAAGAACCAGAGAGCCAATACGGCTATTGTCAGACAGTACACTGAGACATAAGTTGACAAGTCCCATGTGCCTGCAATTTCACCAGCACCCTTCTTACCCTTCCCAACCGGAACGCATTAACGCTCACATTACTGCTTGGCGGCAGAAGCAGGTAAGGTGGCAGCACTTCCCTGGACGAACTCTTTCACAAGGATCTCCGATGCTATTAAATTATACTGTGCATGAAATGTTTCCCATATATTCTTTTATTAACTGCCTCCGTGGCCGAACGGTTACCATACCGGACTGCCACGCAGAGGTCCCCGGGTTCGATTCCCGGGCCGGGAGAAATATTTGTATGGCCTACATTTATTTCTCTCGTGAGTTTGGGTGTAATTTGTGGTTGTCTATGTGTGTGTCCATGGCACCCGCGACACAGGGTTTCCCTAGTGCGGGGCTATGTTGAGTGTGTGCGTTATTATTATTATTATTATTATTCTATATTTATTTTATGTAAAATAGATAAACGCCACATTCTCACTTGATGTATAACGACGATGTAGTCGACCAAAATAAATAGATAGATAAAAAGTACAAATACAAGCAGAAACAGATATTTAAAGCACTCGAAATCATTCTCAAATCCTGACTTAAGCATTAAGTAGAGTTCTAGAATACGACCCTAAAGCACATTGAACGTAAATTAGTACACATTTATATAAACTCATAGGTTTATATTTATTATATTTATACAGCCTACCTATCTGCAGAGAAAAATATTTTGAATATTAATTCATAAATTTTGAACTAATGTTACATGAACGCTGCAGTTTGTACTAAAATGGCCCTGACCATCCTGACTCAAAAATCCTGACTGAAAATTCAACAACGGGAATCAGTGAAATTCAACAGACTGTTTTCTGCCAGTACTATAATAAAAGGTAACATTTTTCGGCCTTCGGGACAGGCCAAGAATAGTTGGTAGCTGATAAGCAATGACGTGTCAATTGGATTTTTGATAGTTTGTTCTAAAAATTATTTATAAAATGGAAATTTATGCGCATGTCACCTCAGAAATAATGAATGGCTGTGTTTTATTACTATAATTCCTAAAATTAACGAGAATTTGTGACAATAACTCCCTTTTTGTTTATTGCAAATTGTAGTACAAGGTTTAGATTGCAAAAGAACATATCATAACACTTAACACCTTTTTGCTAAATTTACAAATGCGATTTAATCCTAAAAAAACACATCATAGCACTTAACACTATTTTGCTCAATTTCTAAACGTGGTTTTTAATCTTTTAGTACTTGAGTTATGTAACTTAACATTGTATGGTTAAATGG